TACAGTACATACACTACCTAACACAGAGAACAAGAAAGGCCCCAGTTGTTACCTTGGTACAGTACCCACACCACCTAGTACAGAGGGCAAGAAAACAGACCCCAGTTGTTACCCTTGTACAGTACCCACACCATCTAGTACAGGTGGCAAGAAAACAGACCCCAGTTGTTACCCGTGTACAGTACCCACACCATCTAGTACAGAGGGCAAGAAAACAGACCCCAGTTGTTACCCGTGTACAGTACATACACTACCTAACACAGAGAACAAGAAAATAGACCCCAGTTGTTACCTTGGTACAGTACATACACTACCAACTACAGAATGCGACTACTCTTTTCAAGTTTCGACACTACCTGAATATGAAATTTCATTGTGTGTTTTTTATTCACGTGTTTAACGTACAGACTACGTAAGTATAAAAATAATCGGAGATTTAATAAATAAAAAGAAACGAAACTCGAAACCAGCATATTTTGATACGATCTTCAATTGGTTTAAAAGTACATTACTTACATTCGGATGATCTTTGACAGGAACTAAAACTTTTACTTGATGTTTAATTGGCCGACCTTTGTGAATTTCAATTAGATATTGGGAGGAGCTTCTAATATGGTTGGTTGCTTGGTTTCCCGCCATATCACCATTGTAGGTTTTCGTTTCTGTGGAAAAAAAACTAACGTGTCTATAATAAATCATTATCGGCAAAATAAAAACACTGAGCCTATTGACAATATTTCTTTTGAGTGGAAATACATTTAAGCTTTCTGAAAAATATAACAGGTAAATAATGATCCATATAGCGTTGCCTTTTACATAAAGATTTCAAGCCTGATAGTAAGGCTACTCATTTACTTTATCACAGGTAAAGTTGATACCTCACTAATCTGATATTGCAGTTAAATATGTTCAACATAGGATTTAAGCTTTTTGAAAAAATGTAACAGGTAAATAATGATTCATATAGCGTTGCCTTTTACATAAAGTTTTCAAGCCTGATAGTAAGGCTACTCATTTACTTTATCACAGGTAAAGTTGATACCTCACTAATCTGATGTTACAGTTAAATATACACCTGGAAAAAAGTTAAGCACCCCCGTGTTTTTTCAAGTGATTCAGATTCGACGTTCTTGTGACTGATTATAAATTACCATTCAATCTAAACGTGTTTATCAAATGAAATTATGCATTA